ACCTTGCGTGTGACTTTATTTAGGGGTATGACTACTAACGAAGGATCAATTCTTAAAGACACTATCAAAGATAATGAAGTAATAACACTATTAGAATTCAAGATCTCTAAGTATGAAGGTAGTATGTTTCATTAGTAAAATTCTTATTAAAGACCACTAAATATAAAATTCACCTTATATCTGTCTCAAATTTATAGAGGAGATATGCATGTCATTGTAAATTACGTCAATAATATATATCAATCCAAAGATACAACTTACTGAAGAAATAAGAGAATAGTAAGTAAACTAAGCAAACATTCATATAACACCGTAAAAAAATATATAACATTTTAAAGCTAATATGCAGCGTTCTTTTAGAGTAAGCTGCTAAGACAAAAACATCTCTATTAAAGCTTTTTATAAATGCAACAGAAATTTAAATTACTAATATATAAAACCGTTATAATATTTGAAAGATGTATGATCTTAGAAAACCTACTCTAAAATTCATACAATTAAGCCTAAGAATAATTTACCAATATACAGATACACTATTACACTTTTAAGAACTATAACTACCATTTATAATAGATCTGAGTTGAGTAGTGGTTCTATATTTGCAAATGCTACAATAAGAAAGTGGATAAAGATGTTAATAATAAGTGTCCAGATGATAAATGTTGTAGAATCGTCAATGATTTAGTACCAATGTTAAGTGATATCCCTTCTTCATGAAATAAATATATCAAAATTAAATATTAATATTATAATCTAAAGCAAATTGATAATGAAAATTTTAATATATTTAGTTCAAATCCTCATGGAAAATGACACAGACAGAGCAAATACAATATTATGACACAACATAAATTTTTATTGGATGCACAACAGAAGAATTCAATGTAGAGAAAAAAGAGGTAGCTCCTAACATTATTTAAGTAATAAATTAAAAGCATAAAAAATTTCATATATATAAAATTAACATTTGTTCTTATTGAAATAGGAAAAAAATCAAAGTCCGTATTGTTAGAAGTTTGTGTTGAGTATAAGAAATATATTCAACTTCTTTGTGAATTTAGACGAGAAGACAAAAGATGAATGAACTAAAGGAAAGATAACATGCTCCAGTCTCATATTAAAATCGATGTAGACGATGAAGACACTACTACTCTAGAATTGGCTAGGGAAAAGGTAAAGATGAAGAAGGATTGATCTCGACTAGATAAAAAATAAAATAGAAGTAACAAAAGATAATGTTTTGTGAATTGTTATTGAATAGTTTTATTTTGTTAGTAAAATTAGGAATCTTTAGAAGGGATTTTCATAAACTATTTTAGTGCTTTCATATGCATATGTGGATGTTTTTATCATATAAAGTGTACTAGAGTTAGCATTAATATTCAGTTTATGATTTTTTCATTAACTATTTTTTGTTATTTTAGCCCGCTTTAAATCAATCATCTTGCCTTGTTGGCTTTATTATTCATCTTCCTTTTATAATGTTATTTTTCCAAGTGTTTTCACTTTCATAACACTATATTTCCTCAGGTCAAGCTCGGTTTTATGCCGATCCAAATTAAATAAAAAATTTAAATTGGCTTTAGATTATATTTATCTCTTGACAATTCAACTATCAACATAAAAATTTAAACTGGATGTAGCATATTCAAACAAACATCAAATAAATAAATAATCAAAGTGTAATCGAGGAACAAATTTTAGTAAGGAAATAAACCAAAAATACTTAATCAAAGTGAGCAAAAATTATTATTAAAGAAGAGTAATCGATAGGGGTGTTAACGGAGCGGATACGACTCGGATATGGTACTTACCATATCCATATCCGCTTACCCATCTCGGATATGGATACAGATACGTATATACGTCGGTAAGAAAAATTCATATCCATATCCGCCAAAATCGGATACAATTATGGTTATAGATGCGGATATATAAACGGATATGCATGCGTATACAAAAAGGATATGAGAAAACTAGATAGTATTCAGAAAAATATAGTCATGTGATACAAAAAGAGTTCGTTAATATGTTCATTATGATTGAAAAGCTAAGATTAGACATCTTGATCATCAAAATTAACCACAAATCCATAATCTAAGAATCGAAACTATCGTAAGAGTATTACCAATATGTATTCAGATATTTTCGGATACGGATACAGATATTTCACTACAAAACCATATCTTCAACCATATCCTATCGGTAATAGATATGAGTAACCATATCGTATCCTAACGGATACGGTTATGGATATTTCCTCGGATACGGATACAGTTTGGCACCCCTAGTAACCGATGAATAAATTTTAGTAAGAAAATAAACTAAAAATACCTAATCACAATGTTTAACCACGTGCATTGCGCGTGCATAAAATCTAGTCATACTCCCTTTAAAAGCACGAGTTCGAAAAATCTTTTTTAGACAAATATACCCCTTTATAGTTTGAACTACCTTATCTATAATCAAATTCTAATTTTCAATGGTCAACATTATCCTTCACTATTTTGAATATTTTATTTATATCTTAATCTATCCTAATCATAATCATATATTATCCTAATCCTATGTGAACCATGTTTAGCTTAACAATTTAAAAAAACTAATATTAATAAAATATATAAAACATAAAAATGATATTAGTTTGTTAAGATAAAGAAATTACAAGTAGATAACATATTATAATACATGAAGTATTGCAAAAAAACCATAAAAAGTTTTAAAACTGCAGAAAAGACCCTGAAAAGTTCAAAATTATAAAAATCATCCCAATGTCTCAAAACTTAAAATAAAAAACATGAAATTAAAAAATTAACATCAGTTTGCAAAGAATTTAAAATTTACAGTTAACACCTCAATGTCTCAAAAATTATAGAAAACAAAAACAATAAGAATTGATTAAAAACATCCGGTTAATGGATAAAATTTTTAAAAATATTATAGATTAAAAATTATCGGCACTATATAAATTAAAGTAATTTTATATAATTTTAGTAATAAGTTGGGGTAGCCAAAATACATTCTTAACATTAATTGATAGATGTTTAAATCCATAGAAATGATAAAACACTATAATATTATACCTTAGTATTAATTAATTTTAATTTAGAAACTTTAATCTTTGACGTTAATAATATTTATAGGGTAAAAGAATACAAGGAATTACATATGGAGAAACTATTAGAATATTTAGAGATAACTTTAAAAGAATTGAGTTATTTCCATTGCAAATGGGAAAGTGATGGAAATAAATCTAAAATTCAGAAAACGTCAATGAATCACTTGAATTGGCATTAACATAAGACATATCTATTAATGAAGCACTGAATGACTTACATTAAAAAATAATTTAATAACTTTATCATAATCAAAGAAAAAATCTCCATGGAAGACATAAGATAAATTAGTAAGTATTCATAAATTCCATACTGTGTTCTTCAAATTAAATATTAATATTATAATCTAAGAGAAATTGGTAATGAATAATGCAGGTATTTAGTTTAGATCTTTATGAAAAATGACAGGGATAGAGCAAAGGTAATATTATTGAAATAACAGAAATTCTTATTGGATGCACATCAGAAGAATTCATTTTAGAGGAAAATAAAGAGATAGCTTCTAATTTATTTAAGTAATAAATTAGGAACACAAAGAATTATATATATATGAAATTAATATTTATTCTCATTGAAATAGAAAAAAAATCAAAGTCTATATTTTGAGCAGTTTGTATTGAACATCATAAGTACATTTGACTTATTTGTAAAGTTAAATGAGATGATAAAAAATTAACGAGCCCAAGAAAGATAATAGCATAAAAAATACAAAATTAGCCTGATGTCACAATTGATGTAGATGATGAAGACAATACTCTAGAATTGTCCGAGAAATGATAAATGATAAACCTGAAGAAGGATTGATCTTAACTCAATAAAAAATAAAATAGAAGAAATAAAAACAATATTTTATGAATATTTTATAGAATAGTTTAATTATTTTGAGTGAAATTAGGAATCTTTAGAAGGGAGTTTCATGAATTTTTTTCAGTACTTTTATATTCTTATGTGGATGTTTTTATCATATAAAAGTATACTAGAGTTAGCATTAATCTTTAATTTATATTTTTTTATGAAGTCTATCAATGATTAGGAATACACTTCATATTCTCTTTTGCATCGTTTTAACATACTTTAAATCAATCATTTTGCCATATTGGTTTTAAATATTAACATACTTTAAATCAATCATTTTGCCATATTGGTTTTAAATATTCACCTTCCTTGTATAACACTATTTTAATATTTTTTACTTTGCAATGCTATACTTTCTCAAATAAAGCTTAGTTTCATATCGGTCAAAAATAATATGAAAATTCAAATTATTTTTAAATTATATTTGTTTTTTGTTAATTCAAATATCAACATGAAAATTTAAATTGGGTGTATCCCATTTAAACAAACATAAAAAAATAATCGGGATGTAAGAGTTTAAAGAAAAAATGAGCACAAACTGCCAAAAATACTTAATCATGGTATTAAATCACGTGCATTGCACGTGCATAAAATCTAGTAGAAGGAAACGTGTATCTTTTCGCCTTTCGAACACGATATATACCACCAATCCATAAAAAAGCGGGTAAAGTCCATGTTCGGATCGGGTCCAACTATCCGGTTCCTATCATCTTACCCTCAAATCCATTTCTAGAACGGGCAAAGTCAGTTCGGACCCCGTTATATACCCGATCCACTACACTCCAAACAGCGGCACGGTATTTCTCTGGATATCGTCAGCATCCGGTACATGATCCAAATAAAAACAAACCCTCTTTCAAACCCCTCGATACTCTGAATTTAATTGTGCAATAAAAAAAAAGGTAATAAATAAATAAGCAGCGTATTCTCTCTCTAATCTCCTGTTCCCAAATCCATCTCCTTTCTGTTTGAAAATCCGATATCGAGCTCGATCGAGAACCAGCGGCGTCCCCTTAGATCCTGGTATAATTCCCCCCCCCTCATTTTCTCATCTTTTTCTTCCTTTGTTTCTCATTTTTTTTTGGTTGGAGTTTGATGATTCCCTGTTGGAGTGAGATTCGTTGGCTTCCCAAAGAAGAAAACCCTAATCACATTGATGAAACCCTAGAGTTAGTCAAGTCCTAGCCTAAATTTGAGTGCAGTATGCCTCTGTTCAGTTTGTTCATCAGTTCATTTTTCAAATATGGCCCAACCTTGGTTTTGCTTTTGGCGATTTATGGGAGTTGGATGCCGTTAATGTCTATTTTTTATGGGATTATGAATTCATTTTGAGAAACTGCAATCGGCTGAGGAATATAGTACCGGTTAGAATTTGTTAAGTAGTTTTTTTTAAAATTTGGGGATGTGGATGTTTTGACCATTTCTGCTGGAATTTTTTATGAGATTATTATAATTTCAAAAGCATGAGTTGTTTTGTTTTTGGATTGGGTGCAACCTTCTTCTGGATTCTTAAATGTTGATAGAAAATTGGGCTGGTTTGTACTTTGTGTAACAATCATTGTTCATGGATTTTTCTGGTTTTAATCATCCTTATTTGGAGTTTATCGTGGATCATCGAAATAACTGCAACATATTCTTTAACTCCATTCAGGATATTGCTCCTGGGCCTCTTGGTGCACATAGCTTAACATGTATTCTTTATTTTACTTTGATGTTTTGTTATCAATAGCTTGAACTAAACCTTTACTTGGTATTACTGCCGATTACTCGATTGTATTTGTAAATGATGTGGCACCACATGTAATTATATGATTGAGTTTGCTATTGAGGATCTTCATTTATTGCACCTTGAATGATGGGAATATTTTTGGGGGTTAGTATCTTTTTATTGGATCATTCAAATACAATTGTGTTTTCACGTGAGACTCTGCCATAAATTGACCTTTGTCAGTGTCTTTGGTCATTACAGGAAGCTACACACACGCACGCACACATGCACACCCACACCCACACCCACACCCACACCCACACCCACCCACTTCATTTTCCCTTTTTTTTGGATTCAATATTAAAATGAATTTGTTAGTGAACTAGGACAGAAGTACCATACCATGTCCATGTATGGATACTTGCCATACATAGGAGCTAAACTATAATTCGTAGGAGATTGTAGAGATTGCCTTTCTCCCCTAAATACTGGCTCATTATAAGTGTTTGTAGCATATTGCAGCTGATAGATATGCTATGCTTAAAAAATATTTGAAATACCTAGTCATCTTAGGAGAATCTATGCATGTTAGTTATAACTAGAAAAATTTTAGGTCTTCCAGGTATAACGAAGATTGTGAGCGATAACTAGTAAAAAAAAAGAAAAAAAGAAAAAAAAGGAAAAACTCTTGAGCTTACTTCAAGCAAAGAGTAAAAAGGTGGTAATGTTGAAATGCAAGAGGACAAGTTTTATTGTTTCCAAAGTTTCAAAGAGTTATAAAGGATCGCCTTGAGGTTTATGTTAGTTTGACTGGAACATGATGATTGGATGGCCAAATATCAAGTTGGAACACAAGTGCTGTTTTCCATCATTTGTTAATGTTCTTCTACATAGTTTTTTTGATGGAGTTGTATATTTTGTGTGTGAGTGAACTAGTTGGTTTCTACTTCTAGTGTATCTTTAACTTTTTTTTAAAATTATTTCTTTAGGTTGTTTTCTCCAAAGTTTTAATTTTCTAGCATAACAAATATGGTGGTTTTTCGAAACGGAAGTTAGTTGACTCGTCTGCAGCTTCAAACTAGTTTTTCTTTGTACTTTGAGTGTGAAAAAATGGCGCATCTTCAGCCTGAATCAGTGGAGTACCAGGAGAACTTAGAATCTTACCTCAGATTCTCGCGCAAAGAGCTTCAAGTACTGTGTAAACATAATAAGCTTCCAGCAAACAGAAGCCATAGTGAATTAGCGAAATCACTGGCATCGTTTTTTGAGGTAAATATTTGTTCTTGGTTGTTCAATCTTCTGAATAAGAGAGGGTTTCAAAATTGTATATTTTTTAACTTGATTCTCTTAATTGAAGTTAAAGGTCAAATTTAGCCTTAATTTTTAAAACAATTGTTGCAGAAGAAAGATGCTGGTCCACGTCCTTTGGAGGAGAAATGTATAAGTTTTGTGCCATATATGGAGCCCACAAATTCAGAAAATCATTTAGAAGATAAGTCCAAAGGTAGAGTTTCTACTATACTCCTTTTCTTGGAAATTGTGGTCTTATATGTATTAGAGTAATGTCTACACCAATGAAGAATACATCATAGAAAAGAATTCTTATATGAACTCTTCATGTTTGAAGATTTTACTGGAGTGTGTCAGAGAAGAAGGCCGTTTGATTCTACTAATAAGGCTGGAAATGGTGACCGAGGACCTGTTGCGGCCAATAACCAGCAGATTGAGAAAGACTCAGGACTTTGTTCCAAGTGGCGTTTAGGTGAAACTTTGAAGGACTCGAAGAAATACTCAGAGTTGAGCGCCAATTGCCAGATAGTTCGGGGTCATGCTTCCTCTAATAGTGGAACTCATAATTCAGTTCCAAATATAATGCCAAGAGCTGCTAAGGATTCAACAACAGATAGTTTGTCATCTGATGAAGGGATCTCTACTAGTGAGATGCCTTCATTTCAATTTTTTGTAATGTCTGAGGAGGGACTTAATCTTTATGTTGATTTGAATTCAAGCCCCACAGAATGGATGACTAGCTTGAAAAATGAAACCAGCATCAGTCTTAAAATGCAGGAATCTAAGTCGAGATTTCTTCCCAGTCGTACTGGAAACTTCTCAGAAGAAGCTGATGCAATGAAAAGTTCACAATTTCAAGATACAGGAAGGAACCTCCGTTGTGATACAATTGATAGGAACAATAGATGCACGGTTTCTAATCTGAGTTCAAATAGTGACAATTGTCAGTCTGTGGCTCCTCAGCTAGAACATCACTTCGGATCTTCTGATTCATCTGCAATAACATCAACTAGCATTCCTGTCAGCACACTCGAATATTTGGATGGGAATCAAACATTTCCCTCTCATGCTACTACACTGAGTGATCAAGTGATCATGGCATATGATAGTTCTTGTCCAGGAGATAATAATGCTTTTTCTGATGACTTGATAGATGCTTCTTCTGTAATGGAAATTGGCAATGCGCAGGTACCTTGTATTTCTGGCGGACCCGCAGGAACAACAGATTTAGAGCAAATGGAGTGCCCCTCTCTAAAGAATTATGATGAGTCAAATAATAATGAAATTAATGGCTTTGGTAACTCGCTGGCAAGCATTTCTGAGAAAAATGACCTTCTGAAGTCTGATGGAACTGAAATGATTGGATTGACATCTCATAAGGTCAATCTTGTAGAAGATAATGACACATGCAGAGTCTTTATTGAAAGAGGGACCAAGGTAGATCCAACAGAAGGTGCAGATGACCATGATAGATCATCAATCTGTGGATTTGGTGGGCATGTGGGACTTGATTGTTCAGTGACTCAGGCACATACACGTAAGGTATCAGCAGATGACCTTCACGCATGTAACCTTGAGAACTCTTTTGGCAAAAATCCAGTTCCTTTATTCAATCATGAACTGGTATTTCTCTTCTCCCATTACTAGGAAATTCCCTTTCGTAATATTTGGGACTTGCAATTTCTCATGGTTTCTAAGATTTATTTGTCAGTTTTAAGTTAAAGATTATTAGCTTATCCAGAATTAATCACCATGCATGAAATTTCCTATAACTTAGTTTTTATTGAATAACGCTCCATATTTGTAGCAACAGTGAAGGTTTGACTTGGTTATTTTTTAATTATCAATATATATTTATTTAATTTAGTACATCATGTAACTGTATTTTGGTGATAAAGAACCTCATATTAGTGATCAATGACTTTTAGGGCCTTTCGGATATTCTTAGATCTCATTGGTATTGGTGTGAATGAAGAGATACTGTTTGACAGTTGGTTGTTGAACCACAGGGTTGTGAATGTATGTTTAGGTAATATGCCATCATCCTCATTTTGTTTACGTAACAGCAGACGCAAAAACTTTATCTACTGTAGAAGGAAAAGAAAGGCAAAGAAAAAAAAAAGAAAAGAGAAGAAAAGTAAAATGGTTCCATTCTTGCTTTTGGGTACTAAAGAAAATTGTAAGAAAACTTTAAAGGAAAACAGGAAAATGATTTTTTATTATTTTATTGCTGAATAAAAAATGAGAAGAAAAAAATTTGTATCTATATTAGTTAAATATTTTTATAAATTATCCAATTTTAAATATTTTAAAAATTCCTAACTTGTTAATTTTATACTTCACATAAATTAATCAAAGTTACTTCTAATAGCAAGATTGTAATAATAATATATATTAATAAATTTTTTAGAAAAGTAATTTTTTTAAAATTAAATATAAAACGACAATCTCTATAAATCTGCAAGCTCCTCGAATTTCACACGTTTATCACTGTGTCATAAGATTACTATCTATAATTTGGAGACATTTTAAATGGATATACAATGAAAATAAATATACGCACCACCAGACACAAAATTAGAAAAAAATCATATGTAATGGATGAGATGCTTCTACACTTGAAAAAGCAGGTATAAACTGCGTCAAAATACTTCTACACTCGAGCTTAATAAGCCAGTAAACTAAGAGCTAAATAATGTAACCTTTGACTCATATCACTTATTTTTCTTTTTTGCTTTTCTAACTTCTATTAGTCATATCATACTCCTTGTTTTAGCATTTCAATAAAAAAATTTAGAGCACGTATAAATAAGTGAATTAAGGGAGGCAAAAACGTAAGCTATGATAGTTATTATTGGTTCGAATGTAAGAAATCTTCTTTGTAGTGAAATTTAATTGAAAATGTTTCTTCTCAACAAAGAAGTTGCATGAAAAGCTAAAGAAGCAATCAAACTATTAAGAAAAATTTGACAAATATACAAATAAATTCTGAAATGAATGACAAAACACCATTGCTATTAGTTGTCAAAAATGGAATTCAAAAACCGTTAATAAAAACTAGAAATTTTGATGAAATAGGTAATCTCAAGCAACTTCCAACAGTTTAGAGCTATTTTGATGATCTAAATTTAGAGAGCAAGAACAAATTCCAATGCTTTTGGAGACTTGAAGTATATCTGAGAACATCAAACTGTACTCTTTGTTATTAAAGAATATTTGAGCAAAAATTGATGGGAACGAACGATCTTCAGCCGAGATTTGTTGATCATTGGTCGAGCTTTGGGATAGTGAACATAACTTTTTTGAATGGTGATTGATAAGAAGAAAAAAATTTAACTTGAACTCGAGCTCTTTATCTCTTCTCGACTTTCTTTTCCTTCACTTTCTTTAGGTTTTAGGAGAGAGATAATAGCAAAAACTTGTACCTTTTTCTCTTATTTTTGCCCATTTACATTTCTTTACTTTTCGGTCCTACCAAACAAAGAGAAAACTACTTTCTGACTTCTTTTGCTTTAATTTCCTTCAAACCAAACACAACCTTTTTCACATTTCTGTTCCACTATTTGAAAACCTTAAGCTAAGTTAATGTTATTTTAATCACTTCCCAATTAAAATCATACGAATTAGTTAGGAAGACCATGTGACGCATGATCCTTAATCAGATGCATCTAGATGCTGATTTCCTAAACATCTTGCGATGATGAGATGTATCCTAGCCCTTCGTTCTCAAATTCTATAATGAAAGAGGAGAGTAGGATATGAGAAAGGCAATGGTAGCGGGTGTAATGAAGAGAAGAAACTCATGAAACATCAAGCTTATTTATTGGAATGACACTATGGACCAAGGGGTTTAAGGATGTGTTTGTTAATGATTATTTCTACTTTTTTAAATTGAGAGACGGAAGAATCTTGTACCAAAATCTATATATATATATATATATATATATATATATATATAAATTAAAAGCTAAAAAGAAGGATATATCCCAAATAAACCAAAAGTCAAATAGAGAGAAAATTAGAAAGTCAACATGCAGGCATTGGTTATGTACTCGTGCAGGCCGCCTAGGAAGTATGCTCTTTATAGTATATTTCCAAGAAGTCAGCACTCTATAGTACCTGAGCTATCGCGCCTCAGTTCTCGAACAAACACATTTAGATATTTACTAAAAATGTTTGAGCAGTTGAATCCTCAAAAATAAGAGAGATAATTGGTCGTATTTCTATAGAGAATGAAGAGTTGGTTGCTATTATGACTATTACAACCATCCCATTTGAGTAATATATTGTCATGTATTGTAATGCCCCGAGCCCTGACGCGATGTATGCCGTGGGAGTCACTGAGTGTAGCACGTTGTTTGGCTCAAACCACTGCTAAAATCGACTAGTAGATGCTACAATTGAGTCTTTTAGCTTCACTATTTAAACACTTATTTTTTCTTACCACTAAAAGATGTGGGACTAACATTGGGGTGTTATAATCATCCCACCTTATATATACGACGTTCTTGTCACGACATGATAATTGACACATCTTAGTATCACACAAGGCGATGTGGACTCTAGAGGTGATTCCTACTGCACTTATATGGTATAACATTTAGCTCCTCATAGCACTTGGCTTTACACTTATGGCTGGCAAACTGCTCTGATACCATTTATCACGCCTCAAGCCCGCGAGCCCATTGGCGCGATGTAAGCCAGAGGACCCACCAAGTGTACTGCGTTGTTTGACGCGAACCACTACCAAAGTCGACGAGTCGATACTACACTTGAGTCTTTTAGCTTCACTATTTAAACACTTACTTTCTCTTCCCACTAGACGATGTGGGACTAACATTGGGGCATCACAAATATTCTCTCAATTTGCCAAATTGGAATGAAATAATGAGTGTATTAAAAGCAATAACAAAAATGAAATCATCAAAGAAATAATTTTTCTAACTCCCCGTTTCTCATAATCCATCTATTTCCCCAGAGGTTGTGTTTGGGGGAACAGAAATGAACAAAGCTTAATATGCCGTTTGCACTCCTATACGGTGAATTTGCTATAGGTAATTTATGACTTTGAACCTCCAGTTAGTTATAATTGTCACAAAGTGAGGGGCAAAATGGATACACCTTGAATCGGACCTATTTAGTAGATATTATAAAAGCAAACATATTATACACCCATCCATTGAACAAATAAGTTGGAGCTATAATGACCTCGTTTGTATGAGAAACATGTGCATCTGTACATGATACACATTAAATAAGGGAAAATAATTAGCACATGGTTTTTATGTAGGGTGACCTAGACACTTATGGCACTCTTGATGCAAAAGTTAAGCCATGATGGGACAGGCTTTCTAGTATCTGACATGGCCATGTATTTACTTGTTATAATTGTAGTACTATGCTCTCACAGGGGGACACTGGACACATGCTTTCTCATGTGTGTAAATACAATTTTACATGTTCGATTTTGAAAATAAAATGAACCTCGAGGATCTAAGAGACTCAATCTAGTTTACTTTGTGCATGCAGGGTAAAAGCACTCAAATAGAGGAGAAAGAGGCCTCAGAGTAAACTATATTTCAGCTCTACCTGACTTTTTTTGCATCCAAAGTCTTTGATTAATATGTTTTGCTTGGTTTATTTGGTCATGCAGATGTGAACGATCTCAGAAGTCCCTCGAGAATAATTCCAAAAGATCTCATAGTCCAGAGTTTCGTGAAGAATCACCCACTAAGAGGCATCATTCAGATGTTGAAAATAAGAGTGGGATGATGGTGAGTTTAAGAATCACCAGAGCATCAGTGAGGGAAACTATACGTGAATCAGTTCCCTGTCCAAGGCGATCTGCTCGTCTACTGAAGGTTTCTTCTAATCTGCTGAAAATTTTCATTTTCTGTTCCTTTATTTGGATAACTGGTAATGTAGCTCTCATGGTTTGATGATGGCATATGCTAAGTGATGCATAAGAATTAACTTCCGTAAGTTAGGTGTCTGCATGTATGCAAGTTGACACTTGGTTCTTATATAGGACCATACTTCCCTTGCATGCAGTAGTATTAAAGTAATCCCTTACGGTGGCATAATGAAAGCCTTCTTTTATGTCCCATGCTCCCAGCTTCTCTTCTGACCACTTACCCAACATGTACTGGTCATGCTCCTCCATATCTATTCTTGGTCCATTGTTCACACTTATATTTAAATTTTTACTAGTCCCCTTCAAGTTTAGTCTAATAATTTATACATTAGTATGTCTTTAGGTAAGTATATCGGTTTCGGACTTGAGATTTTCAATGCTAGAAAGGTGAATTCTTGTTCTTTCGAGTTCTGAGAATTTCAGTCATTAAATTTGAATCAGTGAGCCTATATCAAGATGCACTTTCTTTTTTTGTATTTCAATAGGTTTTTATAATTGGATGGGTGCATTATTCATTTCTGACACATCTCACCAGCTTTCAGATGCATTCAACGTAGCCTTTGGCCCTGTTCTATACTTGCACCGCTTCTAGATTTGTATTTTTACTATTTAAAGATACTAATTGTATATTAGCTAAGTGGTTTTCTTATTCTTTACATTTTCCAAATTTAGGTCATTTGAGCTCTAAGGAAAATTTATAGAAACATTACTATTTTATGTTTACGTTTCAAAGTTTTTGAGATAATTGAATGCCCTACAACCATACCAATCCTACCAATATCAAGAACACAAACTTGTATCACATCAGACATATCATTCTAGTGAGAGAATATATTAAACGGTAATGGTGAGTGAAGAATAAATATTATGCATATTAACTATATCTGGTTACTTTTTGTAACAGATACTAATCAAGAATCTGGTCCAGACCCAGGTCTGATATGGTCTGCATGCTCTCAAACGGATAGCAATTGCGAATACATTTTTGGAGTGGATGTGGATATAATAAACCTGATCCTCACCCTTCACCGAACATTAATTCAGACCTTGATGGTAGGCAAAGGGATCTAAGGATCCAATGACGGACCCCGACCTTGATCTGAATCGGAACTTGAACCATACATCATCCTCATGTTGTTAAGAATTAATAACAGCCCTACGTGTCCGTAAATATAAATTAATAATATACCTTAATTATGTTATTCATACTAAGTACTTTTAAGTCCTTGCTTAGAGCTCAGCATGTGTTGTTGAGATAATCATAAACCATCTAGAACCGTACTTGATCCTTACCCGACGAGTATCACATAGGATATCAACAGTATTTTGTGCACCCTATGCCAATACCAATGAGTACTGAAAGTATGAACCCTAGCAAAAACTTGATTCATCGCATGACTATGGATATGGACCAAATTCTAGATCTGTTTCATTCTAAGTGTGAGCATGGGTATGGAAGATCTGAATATGAATTTGGTTTCTTACCAGCCTTAACCTCTTGTTTGTTGGAGATTGAATGTGGAGGTTAAAGAAGGAAAGGGTAGTCATTCCAAAAAAGAAAAGGTTGATTCCATGCATAGTACCGATTTCTTGGAAATGGGTTTGCAAATCCTTTTATTCTTGGACAATCTAAGGTAGTTATTAGACTTCTTTTGCTGAATTTTGATGCCTTTTGATTGATAATCATGGAAAACTACTAATGGAACATGAGAAGTTTTGGCTATGTTGGAAGCGTATATAAATCAAAATGTTATCTGATTTTTTCCTTGATTTGAAAAAGAAATATTCAATATTTATTTAGCAATCTTGGTGCTATAAGTTTCGAATATTAACTACATGTTTTCAAATATTATTCTTTGTCCTTTCTTTGAGCTCCAATATTTCCAACTTTGAAACATCATATTTCTTTCCATTAAATGATTAGAAGATGTTCTTAATTATTTGAGGAAGTTACTGAAACATCATATTTCTTGCCATTAAATGATTAGAAGATGTTCTTAATTATTTGAGGAAGTTATTACTTAAAAGTATTTCTAAAAGGTCTCTTCCAAATTTGTTAGTAAAAACCAATCTCTGACCAGATCCTGAGCATTGATGTTGAAACCAACTTTATCGCCTACAGCTACATGTTGGTTTTGTTGGTTTTTCTTTATTTTATTTTCTCAAGATTCTATAGTTGGAAAGTCCAGAACCCAAATAATTTTGTATGGAGTCACCAACCCAAACCCAACACGTTTTTGGGAAAGAGGTCCCTGGTTTGGCAAAACCTGGGTATTTCTTTTTCCTCAAGTCCCCTTCACCAACGTGAAGTCTGCAACTTCAGCTCTCCCCAATTCAAATGAGATCCCTCATTTTTCCTAAAGTCGAAAGTTATGTTTTATCGCTTGGAACTCTTATGAGTTCTGAGCTTAGACAATGTTCTTGAACATTTGGATTCTAGTTCACGCACCTTCAGTTATGGTGAGTTCTGTGAAATTTTGTTATGTGGTTGTTGAAATGAAGGGTAGTTAAAATTATTGTGCATATTTTTTTTGAGAGAACTGACAACAGCGATTGACGAGCGACTGGGTATCTGATGCGTGTGTGTGTGTGGAGAATCTTGTTAGGGGTAGCCATTGATGGGCATAACTGTGCGGGTCATGTGCTGCGGAATGGGGTAGAGAAAGTAAATTGTAGGTAATACCAATGCACAGGGATTGTTATAAAAAAAATCAAGTCTGTCAATCGTAAAACCTCATTTTCAAATACACTGGGTTTGGATCATTTATTTCAGACCAACTCATCTGCATTCCGGAATCGCTATCTTTTTGACTCCTAGGGAACAAAAAATAAAATAAAAAGCTTCATGTAGGCAGGACTTTTGATGCCTACGGGGCAGAGTGTAGGTTGTCAGCTGTCCATATTTATAACTAATTAGAGTGCTTTTCACTAATATTTTGAAATTAATATTTACTCCAAAAAACATACTTTTCTTGGGAATCCTGTTACTTTCAAGTAAAGTAGTATGAATACTAAACTAAGAAGCATGAATACAAAACACCCGATGTGGCATTAAAAAACAAAAGAGAACAACTAGCATAACTTTCTAAAATACTCTTAAAGTCCCTTCTGCTATACAATTACAAAACTTCAAATTTGCGGCGAGGGTTGATGGCTATAACTTTACACTGAAACATGCCGCTTGCAGGTTGAGAGCCCTTTGCATGGGCTGAAACCTGAACTATACTTACACAATGGTGCCTTTATTTCTTCTAAGATCTGCTTTAAACGTGTATTTTCTGGTAACTCTTCCTTTGTAATGTACTTCCAAAGTCATGGTGATGGTTGAGGGTTATATTTTTGTACTCTAACAAATTCCAGAAGAAATCAACAATAGCACTGTAAGTGAATCTTTCCATTACTAGGACTTCCTTCCTTTGTGGTAGTCTGTGACTTTGAATCTTTTCATTACACAACGAACGAGGGATTTTTCAAATTACTTTCCAAAAGTGCACTAATGCAAACTGATTATATAATGACTCCAGTCCATAATCAAACACCGTTTCTTGCGCACAGGCCAATGCTCTTTTTATCTTTGTGGGAGCTTCTCCCCCTACGTTAATGGTTCCTTTCTTCTTTCGTAAGAGCTTTCCTACAAGTTTTTCTCCAATAAAAATACCAAAACCAAACAAGAAGAAGTTTTATTTCTGATAAAATGTGTTTGTGTGCAGAATGGCTTTATGATAGAAGTTGTTGTGTTCCATGGTTAAACCATAGAGATATAGGATTAACTCTTTTCCATTTAAACTAAGCAGCCCTCTTCCACTTGTATATTAATTCGACATCTATGTCCCTGGATTGATGAATCTAACCTGATCTACCGCCAAGTTTATCTAGTGTTTTGATAGGTCGCAAAATGGAAATTTCTTTCTTATATTGTCAAAATTTGAAGAGCGTTTTTTCATATGTAACATTGATTTTCCTCAAGGATGGTTTAGCTGTGTCGAAGTGATTACTCTTGATCTAGGCTAGATAACATGTGTCGCAACATGCTAAATGCATTCTACTTTGTGATTGTCTACTGCACTCTTTTTTTGAGTTAGAAAATTATATTTTTTACTGAAAACCTGCCTGCCTTCTTAGTTCATTCTCCTCTAAATTCTATTTAAGTTCTTAGCAAACAGTTTGTTTCAGGAAACTATATGTGTTCAACCTGCTATAAATGTATACATTAATAATGCTTTTGTGTATGACCCCTTTCCTTTCTCATGCATTGTCTCCTAAACACTTGGCAGGAAAATTGAAGCAATGGATTGGATCAAAATCATCTTCTGTTATATTGAAATTGAAGGCCATGACGGTTGCAATGAATTTACTTGCTTGTTCATGATCAAACTGCATAAATTGCTTTCGTTTAAGCGCAAGGAGGCTGAGATGACAGTCGCAGACAAGAGGCTTCTTTGGTTATCATGGTCGCTTAGTTCTTCACAATTTTTGCTGCATTCTTTCGACATTAGGATCTTTAACATTTATCATTGGAGACTATGTTTTTTTATTCCAAATTTAATTTGTCATATAGAAATAATACAACGTTTACATAGGAGCAGCAGCTACTGAGGTGATTGTTGACGCTGCGAAGAAATAATTATGAAGCCTTGCTCTTCATATTCGTTTGGAAACTTGCGAGGCTAGAGGTTTACTGAAACTTTCTGTGACTTGAACATGTGGTTGTTCATTTTATCTTACTCTCTTAAAGAAGATATATTGCAAGGATGTTGCTTGAATTATGCATGTGTTGCATCTGATATTTTGGTTGAAATCTTGAATTTTATCTGTGATGAGCCTAGTCTTTTATATTTGAAAGGTTTATACAAATAGTGCTGTGAATTTACCTTTCATGAAACATCCTCAGTTACAAACAGTGGCAAGGAAAAAAGAAAAAAGAAAAAAAAAGCATTTCTTGCGTAGTATTGTTTCTTTCTTATTTCAACCTGTAAGCTATATTGAGCATTTTTCTCCGTGCCATTACTTTTTTAATAAACTTCATCCGGTTAGTCTCTTGCACAGTTGCACGCACCTCTAATTACATTTTTTCTCGTTTTAAAAAAAAAAGAAAAGAAAAGAAAACAATTTTCTTACTTCATTTTCCCAAAACTGCAATTTGATTGAGATTAGTTAAGTTTACCTTTTGATAATTAAATCATTAATAAAAGAATGAAATCAATAGAATAAAATAGTTCCTTTTTATTTCCTACTTTAGTAGATGGACAGATTATAATTTAGAGTGGTGTTAGGGGCACACCACCCACCACAACCCCAACCACACCCCCCCTCTCATTGTTACAGTAAACCGGGCCCCACATAGGATTTTAGACTCACGCAGGATCGAACTACGGACCTTCAGTTTACAAGACTGACGCTCTACCACTGAGCTATAAGGGCGGTTTTCGTCAACGCCTTCTATACGCGGTCCTTCTCTTTTACAGGCCGTGGCAAAACCCGTACTTACTCCTCTTTCTCTCTTCTCCCAGCAAAAACGAGGGATAAAAAAAAAAAAAGAGAAAATCAAGAGGAGGAGGAGAGAGAAGTAGAGAACGATGTCTGGTCGATTACTGAGAAAAGTGCTCAAAGAACAAGAACAATCCTCCATATCGGATCCAACCGCTGAATCCGAACCCGATTCCCCCGCCGCCGCCGCCGCTACCCCTTCGACCTCCTCGACGACGGAGACGGCGAAGGCGACGATAACCAGGTGAGCTCGAAACTAGGGTTTTGATTGCGTGAGAAACTCTTAACTTTTTTTATAGCATTAGAAACCCTAATGCTTCTAATTTTCGCTGCTTTTAAAACACAGGGTGGGGAAAAAAAAACAAAATCCTATGATCGTTTTATTGTAATTTAGAGGATTTGTGGGACTTAATATGCCGATATCAAATATCGGGAGGATTTAGGAAATTAATGTTTTGTGGAAATATCATTTCTCGTCTCATGGATTAGACTATTATTTCTCGGCTTTAGGTAACTCTCTGTTATATTTTTGATATATAGATTCACTTTGTTCAAGGAGTATTTTCGTTTTTTGGCGCAAGTTCCCTTTGTAAAAATTATGTTGGAGCATAGGTTTGTAAAACATACGAGATGCTAGTCGTTGTTCGGCAATGTTGGTATGCATTTTTCATTGCGTCTATTCTCAACGGTGTCTGTTGGCTTAGGTTGGATCAGTTTCGTATTGCTTGAAGTTCCAAGTTAGTCGGCTTGGTATATATCAGTCTAGGCGATAGATCAAACCTTGATAACAACAAATGCGAGTTGTGTTTAGAAGATTTGATTTTGCGGTTCACTATGTTGTTAATCTCTTAGGGTTTCCTCTAATTGCGCAAGTGAACTAATTCACCTTATGAAAATAAATTATTTGTTACCGAGGCGCGCGCCCCTGGCGTGGGGCGCTGCGGGCTGGGACAATTGCGCCCCGCACCAGAGGCGGGGCGCTGCACGCACACGAGGCGCACGCGAGCGCGCCTCGTGTGCGCCTCACGTGCTCCTTGTGTGCGCTTGACACCTGCGTTATGTAATAGACTCTTTCTTATGTTTTTTTAAATAATTTACATATTACATATTTACGTCATGTAATAGATTCTTTCTTGCTAGTTGCTAATCCGTTCTTCATCTTTTCATGTTTAACCTATAAAAATAAAACAGTAATTAGTAATTTAGTATACTTGTTTGCTAATTGTAACTTCCTTCTCTAATTAACATGCTAACTAGAAAATTATGAACATATAAATATGTAATTGTTACCTCCATTCTCCATCTTTTCATGCTAACTAGCAAATAGCAATTAAGAAAATTATGAACAATCATGTTTTTTAAATCACTTAATTGTTACTTAAAAATACATATATTATAAATGAAAATACATATTTCTTATTTGTTACTTGCTGTTTTGTTTCATAGACTTTTGCTTATGTTGGAGATTATCTTGCATTATGATTTGTGGAAACTTATGAACTTCTCTATGTTATGCATGCTAATGAAGACTCTTTCGTAAATTAGTAGGTGAAATTATATTTCTTGGTGTTTTTATGTGATAATTTATAAATATGTTGCTTATATGTTTTTTTGTTTTATATTAGAAAATATTAGTTTGAGTTGTGCGCATCAATTCAGTGAGGCGCGCGTATCATTGTGCGCCTTGCGCATGGTGCGCGTAAGGGGCCTTTGCGCCCCGCATTGCGCCTTGCGTCTCGATAACAATGCGAGACAATGAGAAAAAAAAATCTAAAGTTAATCACCGGATTCTACCATGACTTGTACATTCTATGACTGTTTGAGATAAAGGTTTTGTGTTGTTGTTGTATCTTGCATCGCTGCTTGCTAGTAGATATCCATATTACTTTAATTCCTGAGGATCTGAACTTGAACTTTCATAATTACATGACAACTATAGAAATAGAATGAGCAGATGGAGAGGAAAGTTAAATTATTATACTAATTTTTTTTCGTACTTGATATGACACTACTTGACACTCCTTTTACATGGTTGCAACACTCTCCAGTTGTTTCATGGCTTATACATGTACTTCTAAATTATGTCTCTGGATGGGACATTTTTCTGATCTTATAGGACAGTGGATAGGTAGATGGTTAAAATTGTCTCCTGATATGACCTTGGCTACCAAATAAAGAACAAACAAGAAACTATTATTATCTACTTAGCATATAATGCTGATTGCTGACAATGAAATCATATATCCTGCAAGTGTCATCTGCATTTAATGAACAAGAATGTGACACATCGGCTAAGATAATATGATTCATGATAAATATCACTTTATTACCAGCTCCAGTCCTCAATGATCTCTGTTTTCACAGAGTGCACGTTGTGATGTGTAATTTACCCTTTTCACTGTAGTCAGATGAGATATTAGGTGCCCATTGATAGTGCAAAACTGATGTTGGACTTTTTAT